GTTAGGTTGGAAGGGTCCTTAAAGGTTACAGAATCCGAGATGGTTGGGTTGGAAGGGTCCTTAAAGGTTATAGAATCCGAGATGGTTGGGTTGGAAGGGTCCTTAAAGGTGATAGAATCCAAGAGGGTTGGGTTGGAAGGGTCTTCGAAGACCATGGAATCCAAGAGGGCTGGGTTGGAAGGGTCCTCAAAGGTCATGGAATCCAAGAGGGTTGGGTTGGAAGGGTCCTCGAAGGTCATAGAATCCAAGAGGGTTGGGTTGGAAGGGTCCTTAAAGGTTATGGAATCCAAGATGGTTGAGTTGGAAGGGTCCCTGAAGGTCACGGAATCCAAGATGGTTGGGTTGGAAAGGTCCTTAAAGGTCATAGAATCCAAGATGGTTGGATTTTGGGACGTCGGGAGCTTCGGGGCGGTGACGCTTGGGCTGCTCCTCCTCCTCCAGGCTGAGGATGAGGAGGGCTACCGCAAGTTGATCGACCAGAAGAAGGACAAGCGGCTGGCCTACCTGCTGCAGCAGACCGATGAGTACGTGGCCAACCTGACCGAGCTGGTGCGGCAGCACAAGGCGGCCCAGGTGGCCAAGGAGAAGAAGAAGAAGAAGAAGAAGAAGGTGAGCAGAGTGGGGAGCTTCCCCGAGGGCTGCGGGGCTGCCTGGGGGGGATGGGGGCACAAGCGTGGCCGTCTGTTGAGGTTTGATGGGCTTGGTGGCTGTCTGTTGGTAGTGGCCATTGATTGTGGGGTTTGGTGGCCATCCGTTGGGCTTGGTGGCTGTCTGTTGGTAGTGGCCATTGATTGTGGGGTTTGGTGGCCATCTGTTGGGGTTTGGTGGTTGTTGGGGTGGCCATCGATTGGACTTGGTGGCTGTCTGTTGGTAGTGGCCATCCATTGTGGGGTTTGGTGGCCATCTGTTGGGGTTTGGTGGCCATCTGTTGGGGTTTGGTGGCTGTCTGTTGGTAGTGGCCATCCATTGTGGGGTTTGGTGGTCATCTGTTGGGGTTTGGTGGCTGTCTGTTGGTAGTGGCCATCTATTGTGGTGTTTGGTGGCCATCTGTTGGGGTTTGGTGGCCATCATTGGGTTTGGTGGCTGTCTGTTGGTAGTGGCCATTGATTGTGCGGTTTGGTGGCCATCTGTTGGGGTTTGGTGGCCATCTTTTGGTAGTGCCC